GCTTCTGACTCTCCCAACAGCTATGTTTGCCTATGGCATTAGCAGAGGCATGGTTTTGCCAGCTCCAAACAGTTTCTGTGATTTGTGTGATGTTTGGAATTCTGGGAACTTTTCAGAGGGTATATAAATGCTAGACCCTTTTCAGAGGGTATATAAATGACCCTTGTTGGTCATTCAGAGGGGTTAGTTGTGGTTTGTTAGTAGTAGTGTTCAAAGAAGAAACAAAAGAAAAAAGAAGTTAAGATTCAGGATCTTTCTCTCCTTTTTTTTTTTTGTTTGTTTTTTTGAGACAGGGTTTCTCTGTGTAGCCCTGGCTGTCCTGGAACTCACTCTGTAGATCAGGCTGGCCTCAAACCCTCGAACTCAGAAATCCGCCTGCCTCTGCTTCCCAAGTGCTTGGATTAAAGGCGTGCGCCACCAACACCTGGCTTCCTTTCTTTTTTCTATCCTATCAAGTGATAGGAGGTGAAACTGGAGGGATAAAGGGTGGGAAAAGAACCCACAAAGGAGCAAAGACCAGCTGCACCAAGGCATAACAAGGATTCCATTTTTTTTTTCCTTAAGAATGTTTAATAGTGGGCTGGTGAGATGGCTCAGCGGTTAAGAGCACTGACTGCTCTTCTAGAGGTCATGAGTTCAAATCCCAGCAACCACATGGTGGCTCACAACCATCTGCAATGAGATCTGATGCCCTCATATGGGTGTCTGAAGACAGCGACAGTGTACTTACAAATAATAAATAAATAAAATCTTTTAAAAAAAAAAAAAAAGAATGTTTAATAGCGGCGGGCAGTGGTGGTACACGCCTTTAATCCCAGCACTTGGGAGGCAGAGGCAGGCGGATTTCTGAGTTCGAGGCCAGCCTGGTATACAGAGTGAGTTCCAGGACAGCCAGGGCTACACAGAGAAACCCTGTCTCAAAAAACCAAAAAAAAAAAATGTTTAATAGGATGTAACTCAAAAACTTCTAAAAAATAGTCCAGAATAAAATGAAGACCAAGACAATCTATTATCCAGATCATCATACTTGAAATAAATTACTTTGACAAGTATATCAGATAATACCTGACGCTTTTTCTCTAGTGTCACTATGCTTTTTCATATTCTCTTCCCTTGAATTTTCCAATGTTTATAAATTGCAAACCAGTGTCACAGTTCAACTTAGCAAAAAGAATACCTTCTTTCAACAGTGTAACAATAAATGCATTATTTTAACCTCTTCACATTAAAATACTATCTTTACTCCCTGTCCTCATGAACTACCTCTTTGGAGCTGGCGATGAAGCTCAGTGACAGAGTTTTGGCTTAGCACTTGTAAGGCCTGAGTCCTTGGCATACCCTGCCAAATATAAGAGTCTGCTAAAAGACAGTCTTCCCCTTTGTTCTTCAGATCCTATCCCTTTACCGAATTTTCTCCCTAGGTGGTTGTTTGTTTTAATTTTGTGAGGTAACAGTGGCACATACACATACCACAGAACACGTATAGAGGTCAGAGGACAACTATGGGAGTGAGTTTTCTCCAGACTGTCAAGTTTGGCAACAGGTGACTTTACCTGCTAAGCCATCTTGCCAGCTCTCCACACTGTTTCTTAACAAAAGATTCTGAAAGAAAAGTCTGCCCCTTACCTTCTCAGTTTATAATACCTCTACAGTCTACTTCATTGGGGCTTCTGTCCCCACCATTCCAACCCTACACTTTTCAAAGTTTTGATAATGACACTAGTGCTTTGGGATTCATAGTGAGGTTTTCTTTGTTAGTCCCCAGTATGCTTCAAATTCCGCCTCCACCGCCCACCACTGAGGTTTTGTTTTGTTCTGTTTTATGCAGTACTAAGAATGGAATCCAATGCCTTATGCCTGTACCACTAGAAGTGCATCCAAACCCATTTGGTCTTTTAATTCCATCCTGTTTCCTTGTTTCCACTTTCACAGTATCTAAATTACTAAATTACACTGCTTAAAACCTCTCTATATTTAAAGATTAGTGGCTGTCACAAACTTTCAACCTGAACCTGTTCTAAGGCTCCAGATGCTGTCGATGCTGTACTTCCAGTTGGATGAGTAATGACTCAGACTTCAACAATACCCAAACTCACTTGCTAGTCTCTTACTCCCTCCTGTAGTTTCCCTGCACCTGGGCACCTGCAATCCCAGCACTTAGGACGACTAAGGTAGGAGAGTCTCAAATTGGAAACCAGCTAGGGTTACAATGAGATCTGTCCCCCCACCAAAAAAAAATCACACACACATATGTATGAATAATAATGATGAGATAGCTCAAGTTGGTGGGTTAACAAAGGTGATTAGCTCTATAAGCCTGGTGACCTGAATTCCATCCCCAAACCCACATAAAGTTGGACTGACACGTTGTCCTCTAACCTCCACACATGTGCTGTGGCAAGCACTCCACATATACATCATGCACATAGATAACCACAAAAAAAATGATAACAAAAATTTTAGGGGCTGGAGAGATGGCTGCACAGTTAAGAGCACTGGCTGCCCTTCTAGAGGACCCAGGTTCAATTCCCAGAACCCATATGACAGTTCACAGCTGTCTATAACTCCAGTTCCAGGAGATCCAACACCCATACATAGACATGCATGCAGTCAAAAACACCAATGTACATGAAATAAGAGAAACTAAACTTTAAAACATTTGTTTATATGAGCCAGATATGATGGTACATGTAGTAATCCCAACACTTGTGTGGTAGGGGGAGGAAGACTGCTAGCTGTGTACTGAGTTTGAGTGTAAACCCTGTCTCAAAACTGTGCTTATGGGCTGGAGAGATGGCTCAGTGGTTGGAAGCACTGACTGCTCTTCCAGAGGTCTTGAGTTCAATTCCCAGCAACCACATCATAGTTCACAACCATTTATAATGGGATCCAATGCCCTCTTCTGGTGTATCTGAACGCAGCTACAGTGTACTTAAATAAAATAAGTAAAATCTTTAAAAAAAAAAAAAACAAAACAAAACCCACAAACCTATGAGCATACACTTTCTCACTAGAGAGATGGCTCAGCAGTCAGAACAATTGTTTGAAAAAAAAAAAAAATGGCCTGGTGTTATGGTGGCACACACCTTTAATCCCAGCACTTGAGAGGCAGAAGCAAGCAGATTTACATACAGATCGAATTCCAGGACAGCCGGGATTATACAGAGAAACTCTCAATCAAAAAAACCAAAACCAGAAAAAAAGCACTTGTTACTTTTCAAAAGGACAGAATTTGGTTCCCAGCACCCACCCACATAACAATTCACAACTCATAGCAATTCATAGCAATTCAGCAACTCTTAGCTCCAGGGAACTGATGCCCTCTTCTGGCCTTCTTAGACACCATGCATGTATGCGGTGTACATCATACACACAAGAAAATATTCACACACATAAAATTTAAAGCAAACACTCACACATGCACGTGCACACAAAACCCTCATAATCATCCTTGATCCCAATTTTTCTTCCTTATCACTCTCTTCAACCAGTCCTACTCATGTTACTTTCAAAATATTACAGATGATAGGGACAGTAGCTCTCCCCAGCCCCTTCTCCACAGCCTTTATCCTTTTCCACCAATTCACACCCTGATACCAACACATGAATATCCCATTTGTTCCCTGGCTTCTCCAGGGGCTTGCCCTCTGCAATCAGTTATCCACATAGCAATGATCTCTTCAAAACCGAGTGGGTCAATAAAACATTATGTGAAATGGACAGTACTGGAGGCAAGATGGGTACACAGGTACAGAGGACAGGGAAATGGGAACGCTGGGACAATTAACCAAAACTAAGAACGCATGAAAATGCCAGAAGGAAATTTGTCACATGTAAAATGCATTCTGCCATTCCTCTGCTTCATGACCAGTTAGTCCTATGATCTCTCCCATTGCTGTGGACAAACTTCAGTTTATGAGACGTGCTTTATCTGATCTTTCCAGCTCTCTGCACCTTGTTACTTTTGTTTGGTTCATTACACCCAACTTCTATGCTCTCTCCTTCACTAAACTCAAAGCTTTCCTTTCTAGGATTTTGCAGTTTCCTCTATCTGAAAGTTTTTACTGCTTAATTTTTCCAGGTCTTTCTCACGATATACTCAGAAAGTACCATCCCCAACTGTCCCATATCCCCAAATTTAAGCTTCTGTATACTACTTGCATTTTGTTTTGTTTTGTTTTTCGAGACAGGGTTTCTCTTATAACCCGGGCTGTCCTGGAACTCACTCTGTAGACCAGGCTGGCCTCAAACTCAGAAATCCGCCTGCCTCTGCCTCCCAAGTGCTGGGATTAAAGGCGTGCGCCACCACTGCCCGGCTGCATTTTTTATTCTTTTGCTGCAAGCTTCATAAAATGTTGTTTCACACTGAGAGAACAGTTTCTGATGAGTATGAGAGTTGTGGGATGAAGAAAAGGTTAAATTTATTGTACACTTACTGAAGTTCAGACAAGAAACACCAAAATGGGCTCTTCAGCCTAATGCCCAAAAATTCTAGTACATTTGGACTTTTGGACCTGGTTCGAAGAGGAAGAATAGCTATAACAAAAAAGGTAATGAACAGGGGCTGGAGAGATGGCTCAGCGGTTACGAGCACTAACTGCTCTTCCAAAGGTCCTGAGTTCAATTCTCAGCAACCATATGGTGGCTCACAACCATCTGTAATGGGATCTGATGCCCTGATGCCCTCTTCTCACATTCAGACACATGTGCAGACAGAGCACTCACACACAAAATACATAAACTTAAAAAAAAAGGGTAATGGACTATCTCAAGGAAATTAGATATGAAATCATCCCAAATTATCTCTAGCCTCTTATCTCTGAATAGATTGGGCACTGGAAACAGGTTTACCAGCAAGAGAAGACTATCATAAAAGCCTGTATGGCTCACAAGGAAGCTCTTAGTTTTCCCTTCCTCACAGCATTTTAGCAATAAATCATTCCTATAGTTTCTATAATGCTTAAGGGTGAGAAGTAAAATTAAAAAAGAATCACACCAACTTCTATGACAATAATATTTATTAAAATAATTGTTTTCAAGTTTAAACTCTTTCTCACTTTCATCCTGGTTAAATAACATAACAAATACTATACAGAGATACTAGAAAGTGGTAACAAGAAAACCCACATGGTAGCACAGTGGAAGACATGGAAGTTTCTACAGTCTTGGAATCTTTAAAATGGTACCTTAGGCAATCTTAAAAAAAAAATTCAGGTTTTCTTTTCGAGCTGTTTCCTTTTGGTTCAGAGTAAATGAAATAATAGCCAGGAGTCTGGCTACTACCACTGTTTCAAGAGGTAGAGAATAATATGCTTTCTGCTAGGTGGGCCTTGTCAGCTGCTTTAATAAGATTGCCGTAGCTCATTCCATCTGCCTTTGGTAATGGCCAGAACTCTATGGCCCAGAAAGTGAGGCTTCTTGCTAATTACTACTTGAGATCCATAAACCGGATATCCATGATGAGAAGAAAGTTCTTAGGCAGTGGGCGGGGGGCTGGAGACAGAACAGTAAATACCTGGTGTTCCACATCCACACTGGTCACAACAATAAATCCAGCCACACTTGTCTCAGAAAGGTTCTCTTCTGTGCCTTCAGCAGTGCTGACACTCAGGAGATGATGCACCATATCTCTACCAGGGGTGACAGGTACTAACTTGAGCTGATTGTCTTCCTGAGACATGCCCAGAGGTAAACAGGAGTCTGGGATGGTGGGTGCCCCAACTTTGTAGATTTTCACATCAGAAAATTTGACATTGAAGGCATGGGGATAGAAACAGCCTCGGAATCCATAGAAATACTCACGGATACGTTCATCCCTGCATTCCCGCCGGAAGTCCTTAGAGCGTTCTACCACACCCCCTGATTTTGGGAGCAACACAGTTCGAACAAAATGAGGTAGGTCCCTTTTCAATTCGTTGTACAGTCGTTCTTGATCTAGAACCACAACCACATCCACCTCAAAGGCTGAAGCTGCGTGCACCAGGGCCTGGTAACCATAGCCCTTGACCCAGCCACAAGTGTTGATGACACAGCCACTCACAGAAGCCCTTCTATTCACTTCACACCTTTGGTTGAACACATCTGCTAAACGTGATGTAATCTGGAGAAGAATCAAAAGGAGAACCAAAATAAATAAATCTGTGTGTCTATTTTCCTTAGTGATTTCTTAGTTTTTATTTCATGTGCATTGATTGGTGTTTTGCTATCATGTAATGTATGTCTATGTGAGGATGTCAGATACTCGTGGAGCTTGAGTTACAATTAGTCATGAACTCCCATGGGGGTGCTAGGACTTAAACCCAGGCCCTCTGGAAGGGGAGCCAATGCTCTTAACCACTGAGCCATGTCTCCAGCTCCTAAATCCATCTAAGTTCCTCTTTGAGTAATAGGTACCATCCAAAAACTGTACAGGCTGGGAAGCCTACCACAAGCCTTGAAATGTGCCTGGCAGCTGAGCTACAACCTTATCCCCCGATCCCCAGTATTTTTACTTTTCTGAGACAGGGTTTTAGTACAAAACTCTAGCCTAGCTTCAAACTCCTGAAAGTCCTATCGTAGCCTTCCAAGTACTAGGATTATAGGGATCAGCTACAACACTCACTGATATATTAACATCAAAATTGATGTTTTTAATGACTGTGGATTTAACCCCATAACATGGATTTAACTTTGTTACTTCAGCGTCTTTACATTTTTTTATTTTTTTATTATGTATCTGTATGTATGCCTGTGCACATGAGTGCAGACACACACAGAGGCCTGAGGCAGCAGATCCTCCTAGAGCTGGAGTGACAGGCAACTGGGAATAGCATGACATGGGTGCTGGGAATCGAACTCTGATCCTCAACAGGAGTAGTACTGTTATTGGTTTGGGTTTTGTTTGGTTTGGTTTGCAACAGGGTCTCACTATGTCCTGGAACTCACTATGGAGATTGGGCTGGTCACAAACTCAGAGATCTGCCTGCCTCTGACAGCTGAAATTAAAGGTGTGTAACAGACTCTTAATTGCTGAGCCAATGTCTCCAAGCCCTCTGCTTCCTGTTTTACCTCTTAATAATGAATTACTATGAATAGTGCCACAAAATGCTTAGCTGTCTAAAGCTGGCTAAAATGATCTCTTACAAAATCAGGTGGCAGTAATACCACACCAGAAAATGAAAATAAAAAAGGCAATTACATTCAGAGGGAAAATCGTGCAGTTTTAAGTAACAAAGTTCCCTACTCCCTACCCTCCTTCCCTCACTCCCTTAGCTCCAGTTCTGACCTTATTATAAAGCTTGATGTTGGTGCCAGGCGTGGTGGAGCCAAAATGATACACAAGAGGGGCCTGGATGGAGAAACCTTCTTCCACATCTGCTGGACGCTCAATGTACAGGGCCCCCATGGTACCAGGGATGGACACAGAGCCCTGGCCTACATCCAGCTCCACGTAAGTAGGACGGCGGCCCAAACGTACTGCATAGTTGAGTAGCAGTCGACACACCGTGGACTTGCCCACATCAGTAGGACCCACTACCATCACTCGGGGACCTCTCTCTTCTTCCTTTTCTGCCTGCCTCCTCATCTGCTCCAAGGCTGTATGAGTGTTGAGGTAAAGCAACATAGGGGTGTCCTTAGACACATAAGCCACCTCTGTCCGGCCACTCAACTGCAGAGAACAGCCATGCCAAGTGAAAACAGCCACCTTGGCACCAGCATCAAAGGTGAATTTCTTGTTTCTGGTCAGCTCTGTGCCAAAGATCTCCGCCATGCCAGCCAACAACTCCAACTGAACTGACTGAGATGCCTCCACCTCAAATCGAAGCTCTGTTTCTCGCTCTAGTTCAAACTTAGTCGTTGGCTTCTTGTCATCATTGGATTCTTCGCTCATCTTTTCGGTAAAGCTGCCGTGCCTAGAACCCAAATTAAACATTTGATCAAATCACCACATCAGGCCACCATTCAAAATCTTCCAGTGGTTTAGTCCTTTTATCTTTTTCTGCATAGTTCTTATTGCCTCCAGACTCACTGTTTACAGCTGGTCTCCCCACAACCAGAAGGTAGAGGTATTTTTGTTTGCTCCTCTGCCTCTAGTAGGTAGAATAGTAGTGCACCTCAACAAAAAACAGAGTGAATAATGACTACAACATAAAAAGAAAACTACCAACTGATGAAACTAACTGGAGATTTGAATCCCAGTCTTTCCTCCCTCACACTATTGGAAAAGAAAGTAATACATGCCCATTCTCCATCTCTCTAAGGCAACAAAAACCAAGCCTCTGAATCTTATACAAAGAACAGGACACTGGGTTCGGACTCAGAAAACAGTAGCATGTCCAGCTCTGAAACTACTAGTAGTTACAATAATCCAACCACTTAATACCTGAACCAACTCCCCAACTGCTATATGGTGGGCATTTACACGTGCCGGGGATAACAAGGACCACAGCTGGAAAAACAAAACATTGTAAATTAGAAACTACTAAAGAAACGTAAATTACTATTTCAGATTGTGAACCACAGTTCTGGGTCCAATATTTGTCGCAGTTAGCTCCGACACCAAAATCTGCCGGAGCCTCTCAGAGGTTATCGGGGTCCTTAAACCTTACCTGTAAAGCCACGGGTTCCAAATCAGCGTTGCTGTAACCGCGGAATTCAACACAACCGCGAACGACGCTCGACTAAATACTAGCCGGAAAGCAAAGGCGGTTCCGCTCTTGCGCGGTAGTAGGAGACACGGTCCTGTGATGCATCTTGGGATGTGTAGTTTGGAGTGAGTGAGCGCGCGCCACCGCTTGGCCCTCTGGGAATGATAGTTCAAGGATTGTTCCGTGACGTGCGGAGCTGGGCGGGGCAACGCCGTTACTTTGTGCGGGAAGACCGCAGGAGGCGGAGAGTAGACCTTGCTGGTTCGCCCACGCGCAGGAGGTGGTTACGTGGTCTCTCCCTGTCTGCTGTCCAGGAAAGCTAAGGGCGACCAGAAAGGCAGAGGCATCACTGTCTAGATCAGAGCTCTGCACGACTAGACTACAAACCAAAAAGTGGGGAAGTTAGCAAAACGCAGCCAGACGGAGGGAAAGTGGCAGAAACACACACACACAACAGGAGGGAAAGTGGCTGAAACACACACACACCAGGTCAAACAGTCCCCATTTGAGGCTATGCGGAACTGACAAATAGAAGAAACTAGGTGTAATTCCCTCCCTCCTTCCCTCCTTCCCTCTCCCCCCCCCCCCGCTCCCCCCACCATGCTTCAGGTGCCAACCTGGCACTCCATGTGATTCTGTCTCTGATCTCCTGAATGCTGGAATTTACAGACTTGAGCCATCAACTAGGCTGATTTTTTTTTCTTTAGTAAATGTAGAGTAAAAGCCCAATGATTTTTTTTTTGTTTATCTCATGAATCAGTCATTATCCAACAACTTCTGCCAGATTCTAAACTGTTTCTCTACGCACATCTGACAGTTATACAAAGTCAATCATTTACACCACTGCTAACCGGTTCCATGTCTATAATCAACTTTTCATGAGTATGGCCTTTGGAATCTTGTATTAGTTCCCTGCCTGACTTTGAATAAAATCACAGGCTTCCCTTTCCCTGAGACATCTCTTGTCTATAAAATGGGAATAATAACAGTATTCAACCTCCTAAAATTGTTTTGAAGATTAAATTACACATAATGTGCTAAGCACAATTCCTATAATATAGAATATCTGATGTTAGCCTTAAGTTTTTATTATAGACTGGGGGTACTATAATATCTGTTTATACAGTGCTTTACATTTTTCAAAGTGGTTTCAGGTGTCTATGTCACAATACCCAGGTAGGTATAGTATCTCCAATTTCTTTTTTTCTTTTTTTTTTTTTTTTTTTTTGTTTTTGTTTTTGTTTTGTTTTTCGAGACAGGGTTTCTCTGTATAGCCCTGGCTGTCCTGGAACTCACTCTGTAGACCAGGCTGGCCTCGAACTCAGAAATCCACCTGCCTCTGCCTCCCAAGTGCTGGAATTAAAGGCGTGTGCCGCCACCGCCCGGCCTAGCATCCAATTTCATTTGAGGAGAAAACTAGGATAATCAGAGGCATTTGCCCAAACACTCAGTTATTGGTAGAGGTAAACTTTGTTTTGTTGTTGTTGCTGCTGTTTTGAGACAGTCTCACTCTCCTTGCTGTCCTAGAACTCACTAAATAGATCAGACTGTCCTCAAACAGAGATCCATTTGCCTCTGCCTCCAGAGTACTGGATTTAAAGGCATTAAAAGTGTAAAGGCTTAAAGGTAGACCTTTTTGATAGTTCATTCCTTTTGCCAACTTAACTGAATCAGTAAACATCTTGGACACCAAGGGTGGTGCAACTTTGGGTGTGTCTCTGAAAGGATTTCAGAAAAAAACATAACTGAAGAGGAAAATTCTCCCTGACTGTGGACAGCTCCATTCCACAGCCTGGGGTCCTGGACTGAATCAGAAGAGGAAAAGAAAAAGCTACTTAAGGACCTACATTCCACCCTGTCTACTTCCTGATCTGGTCAGACATAGACAAGTCTTCACCATCATAGCTGCAAGCCCTCGCCACTGCTATGCCTTCTCTATGTTGATTGACTCTGCCTCCTGAACCATTCAGCAAAATAAAATCTCCTTTCAGTTGCTTTTTGTCAAGCATTTGGTTATAGCAATGAGAGAAACATAACTAAAACATTTAAATCAAGTGTTAGCTGTTGTTCCATGGCTGTATGGGTGTATATTAATTTAATTCCAGGTAGAACCCTGTGCAATAGTTATAACTGTAACCCCCATTTTACAGGTGTTCGGAGTTTGTTTTGTTGTTGTTGTTTTGGAGGGTTTTTGTTTTGTTTTGTTTTGTTTTGTTTTTTGGTTTTCTGAGACAGGGTCTCTCTGTGTAGCCCTGGCTGTCCTGGAACTCACTCTGTAGACCAGGCTAGCCTCGAATTTTTAAAGATTTGTTTATTTTATGTATTTGAGTAGACTGTAGCTGTCTTCAGACACACCAGAAGAGGGCATTGGATCCCATTACAGATGGTTTTGAACCACCATGCGGTTGCTGGGAATTGAACTTGGGATCTCTGGAACAGCAGTCAGTGCTCTTAACCGTTGAGCCATCTCTCCAGCTCCTGAATTTCCTTTTAAAGATTTTTTTTTATGTGTATGAGTGTTTTGCCTGTGTGTACATATTTGGACCACACTCATACTTGACACCTGCAGAGATTGGAAGATGATGGACTAAATGGATGACTGTGAGCAGTCATGTGGATGCTGGGAATCACATCCAGGACCTCTGCAGGAGCAACAAGTGCCCTTAGCCCATGAGCCAACTCTCCAGCCACTCTACCCAACCCATACTGTTTGTTTGTTTGTTTGTTTGTGGTTTTGTTTTTTTTGTTGTTGTTGTTCAGTTTTTCTTTTTCTTTTCTTTTTTTCTTTTTCCGAGACAGGGTTTCTCTGTGTAGCCCTGGCTGTCCTGGAACCCACTCTGTAGACCAGGCTGGCCTCGAACTCAGAAATTCGTCTGCCTCTGCCTCCCAAGTGCTAGGATTAAACGCATGTGCCACCACCACCCTGCGTTGTTCAGTTTTTTCAAGAAAGGGTTTCTCTGTGTAGCCCCGGCTTTTTTTTTATGGAACTCATTCCATAAACCAGGCTGGCCTTGAACTCAGAAATCCATCTGCCTCTGCCTCTTGAATGTTGGACCTAAATGTGTGAACCACAACTGCCTCACATATATTTCTGTGTGTATAAGCGTTTTGTCCACATGTATGTGTGGTCATCTTGTGCATGCCTGATGCCCTTCTAGATCAGCAGAAGAGGTCAGATTTCCTGGAACTGGAGTTACAAATTACTGTGAGCCACAATTACTAAGCCTTCTTTCCAGTCCCCTGTTTGGTTTTTAAAGCAGGTAAATACTTTCCTCATCCTAGCCCATCTGATGAATTTGAACTGAGAGATTAGGGCAGCTTTCTGGTCTACCTTTCTCTCCCTGGTCTTACCTAACACTCAGTTTTCAGGCAGGTAAGTTGTCACTTCTCACAGTTTTCTTTGGAGATGTGATTTAGTTATACCATTCATTCACCATGTGGACATTAGCTTTTCAACGAACTATTCAGCATAGGCTGATCCTTTTTCATTCTTCAGAATTTTAGCTCTAGGCTTCCGTTAGCAAGCTTGTGGCCTCACCCTCTTTCTTCAGAACTCATTCTTCCCAGACTGGTTCTTTGCTTCCACTCTCAAAGTCTCCTAAATGCCTGAAAGTCATCTTTCTTTTTCTGTGTGTGTGTGTGTGTGTGTGTGTGTGTGTGTGTGTGTGTGCGTGTGTGTTTCGAGACAGGGTTTCTCTGTGTAGCTCTGGCTGTCCTGGAACTCACTCTGTAGATCAGGCTGGCCTCAAACTCAGAAATCCACCTGCCTCTGCCTCCCAAGTGCTGGGATTAAAGGCATGTGCCACCATAGCCCGGCAAAAGTCATCTTTCTTCAGATATTGTATAACCATCTCAAGCTGAATTCAGGAAGAGCCCTCTCCTCCCTTTCAGATTTCGTTCCCCTTCGCTTCTTAAAGACAGAAAAAGGACAGCATACAAGCTATCTGTGTGTGTGCCTGTTGCTGCACTGTCTTCATTTCCAGTCTCACCAGGTCTCCCCGCCCCCATAGGACACCCCATCATTCTGTCCTGTGTCCTGGTTCTTCTCCTCTGCAGCTAAATCTTTGATAGTTTTGTTCCTATGTTGATTTAAATTTGTGAATGCCCTTCTTGCTTCCAGCTTTAATTCTACAGCCTAGGAGTCGTTCACTGTTTTTCCTCCAGCCCAGATCCACAAAGTCATCCTTCTCTTATGCTTCCTTTCCTTGTCCTTTGTTTGGCTCATCATGTTGTGTTTCATGATGATGATGTGGGGACAGCAATGTGCCACAGTGTGGAGGCCAGAGGACAACGCTTTGGAGTTTTCAGTCAGGTTTTTGGCAAGCAAGTGCACTTACCTGCTGAGCCATCCTCACAACTCCAGTACTACCATTTTTATCTGTTACCAAGATGAAAGTTCCCCTCCCTCTCCATCTTTCTCCCTGGCTTTGTGTTTTGAGAACCTTGAACTCTGGATCCTCTCGTGTCTGTTTCTACAGTGCTGGGATCACAAACATGTACCATCATGACCAGCTTGCCTGTTTTAGGCAGAGTCTCACACACTGTAGCCCAGACTGACCTGCAACTCCCTGTGTACTTCAGGCTAGCTTCTCTCTCACCTCAGCTTCTTGAATGATGGTAACCGCCATGCCAGATTCCTTCTTTCTTTAGCCAGCTCTTCTCATTTTCAGGCTTCTAATACTAACCCTCATAATACATGCAGTATGTCTTCAGAGTTTACCTAACCTTCAGACTTGATCCTGATTGAATAATCAGATTCCCTTTTCTTCTTATCGAACTAACAAGATCTCTCTTTCCCTGTTTTCCCTGCCTTAATCTTCACCCCTCACATGTGAGAAGAGAGATAGATGAGAAAAGTACTCTCCAGAAGTCTGTGTTTCACAGTTTTCTCAAAATTAGCCTATGAAATAAAACGGAGTTGAAAGTGTTCTAGATCAGATGAATTTTACCTGGAAGCTGATTTAAAATAAAAATAAAAATAAAATAACAAGGGAA